CCCCCAAACACACACACACGTAAAATTTTCTAGATCCGCAGCTGACAGTGACCCATTGTGGGGCCTAGATGGAAAAGAGATGATACCCCATCAGGAAAGATTTTCTTTATTAAAGGATAAATGTATCCACACAGAACAGCTTTCTAATTGTTTGCAGTGTCTGTGTCAGTGGCAGCTGAATGTCCCCTGCATTATAACTAAACCACTGAATCCTTTCACTGTCTACTGTTTCACTGAAAGGCACTGTAATGTACACAGACTGCGGCAATATACATAATTCTTGTATAGATAATTTTTTTCTTTCTTTTATTTATTGTTAATGCTTGTCTTTGTTTGCATACCATGGGCCGGGTGAACAATGTTTTTCTGTATATGTCCTGTACATATGGCAGAAATAACAATAAAGCTGACTTTAACTTTTTGTTTTGGTTCTGTGTATGGTATGTCACAATATCACAGAAACAGATTAGATAGTGAAATCCCTCGTTTCTTTATGTGTTGCTAGCCTTTTACTGCCTTTTATTAACATATGTATGGAAACACACATGGAAATATGTAGGTCAAGAAAAGAGTTTGTACTGTTTACTTGAAAGTAAATATTTGGTATGACCACCTTTATCTTCAACACAGCGTGAACCCTCTTAGGCAAGCGTTCTTGTAATTTCTTTAAGTAGTCGTCAGTCATAGTTCTCCAATCTCCTTGAAGGACATTCTCCTCTGCTGTGTGTTACAGATGGCTGTAGCCACTCACTTGTATACCTCTCTTCTGACTTCCTCAGATTTGAACCAAACATTTCAAATGTGGATTCATCACTCCATGAGGCCTGTGGCCCCTGACTTTCGGGCCAGTTCTTGTGTAATTTGGCATACCTCAGCCTTTTCTCCTCATTTCTCTGCCTCAGAAATTGGCTTCTTGACAGCCACACTTCGATTGAGACCTTCTTGATGAGGCTTTGGAAAACTAAAGGGCAAGATGTATCTCTTGGGTCTTGTGTCAGGTCTTTGCTGGATTTATTTTTCTATTTCTAAGTTGTCTGTTATGTGTAGACACAACCCTGAATCTCCCTTGAATTAGTCGCCTTTTTCATACTCGAATGATTTACTATTCGAGTATGAAATTGTATTAGGTGGCTTACAAATAAACATTCCTCTGAAAATGGCCAGGTACAACTACTAGACTGAAACTGAAAATCCCAAAGAAAGACTGCACAAAACCTCCAGAAAGCCTGAAGAGTTATTGCGCAATACCACATTAAAAATTACAAGAAAGTCTGGCTCCTTGGGAGAAATGAAGAAATGACAGGTGGCTCAAGACTTTTGCACAGCACTGTAAAGACTATACAGCCGCAAACCATTTTTGCCTTTTAAGATTACCTGTTGAAAATCATTTAGGCTTAAGCATGACATGCCTGAGGTCTGAAACTGTGTGACCAGTGGGTTGCGAAACTGTGAAATCGGATTTTCCTCGCGTCCCTGAAGGCGTCAGCTCCCCTCTGCTGGGATGTTCAGTGCCCTCCCTGTCCCCGCTGCTGCTGCCTGCTGCCCAGGCTGGCTGCTGGGCTCGGGATGACGCCACCTCTCGCTCCGCCCCGGCGCAAACTCGCTCCCTGCGTTCATTTCATTCCTCTTCTCATTCCGAGCATTCTTCGCATCTCTGTCAGTGCGCGAAGCGATTCACCTACACCTTCCTGGCTGGCCCAGAAACATCAGAATAACTTGACATAGTATTCAAAATACCCAGTAACATTACATTACCAAAAGAAAGGGGCAATTTTATATGAGATATCAATTACGAGGTAAGTTTCAATGGTAGTTACAGGCATTCAAAGTGGGTTGTAGACTTCAGTTCATTTGGGGAGGAGGGGGGTGGGTTAGTTTACGTATTTCTTTCTCTTTTTTTGGAAATGCTGCACAGTGTATTAAAAATGTTGGCTTTATTTAGTTGTTTAATATTTATCCCACAGCGGTGAAGTAACGTTAGGTCGTTTGTTTCCTTCGCGGAGATAGATGGCCGCTGTTGCAACAGGGTGCTCACTTTGAACACTCACTGTTGTAGCCTATGGCTTTGACACAGCAGCGAAAATCTTTGACATTTTTCAAATTTTTTGAAAAGAAGCCTGGTCATACGCCCCTATAAAAGCCTCGGAAGCCGTTTGCCCCCGTGTCAGATTGTCAGAAACTCGCAGTGGGATTCGGGATGAACTAAAAACACACTGCACGAATAACAGTTTTTGGACAAGATGACGGTTGAAAACGTTGCTGTTTTCCTCTCCGTAGTTGGCTCAGCCGGGAGTTGTTGGAGATTTCACCGGAGCATTTTCGGACCACCTCGAAGAAGAAAACACTGTGGCGAGACTTGTTGCTTCAACGCGTTTGACGGTGCTTTTTCGAATCGTCATCTAAGTTTTGTGTAAGTATTTTTTATTTTTATGTTATTTTTTTTATTTTCAAAGGTTTGTTGGTGTGGTGCTCTCCATGTTGTCACTTTATCCGAGGAAACCGATTGCTGAACCGGAGGGGAAAGATTAACCCAAACTCCTTTTATTGTTTCATTTTGAGGGCTTCATTAAAGCTCCTCTGGAGAGCCCCAGGGCCAACTTATGCCTCCAAAACTACCAAGCTGAAAAAAATCTGTAATAATATGTAGTTTTTTGGTCACTTGAGCGCTTTACTGTGGTTTAAAATAGCCTTAAAAGGTCGCTTTTAATAATGAAAATCGTCTTTAAAAAGGATCTTGAATTAGCAGCTGGAGTTTGTGTACATTTATGGGGTTTCCTTTATTGTTGTCCCTTCCCTTCCTTTAATTTGGGAAATGCCTGCTCAGCTAAAACTGCAGGCCAGCTGGAGGAGTTTTACTCCTTACAATGATTTCATCCACTTAACTTTTTCTGGACTTCCCTGGATGGGAACACGGCCCTTATACAGAGAAAGCGATGAGAACTGGATCAAAGCTTTCATTATCTTAGGTTCAAGTTGCACTAAAATACTTTGATTTGTTTCCACTTTGTTGTCTACTCAGCATTTGCTGCTTCAGATGGTGGTCTGACGACAAACTGGTCGTCAGACCACAGTTGACACAACTCTGATAGTGTTGACACGAGTCAGTGAAGGTGCTTCTACTGTAATAATTTTGCAGAAGTTTCTAATTTATTCTCTCGTGAGATCTCCAGCCCCTTTTGTGTCTCACTTCTCTTGACATCACTTGGCTTCAGTAGTATTTTATAATCAGCTTTAGGAAAATAACGAAGCAATTGCCTCCTGAAAAAGCTAATTTTGTCAAAGTAGCTGATTTGTATTATTGTAAGCTTTGCAGGAGAGGCGACAACTGAGAAAATGGGTGAAAAAAAACCTGCCAAAGCTTTAAAAATAGCTTGTTGAACAAAATCCACTTTCCATCACTACTGCTACTACTACTACTACAAGTTTCTGGCTGAAGCACTTACAGCCTCCTACCTCTTTCCACCTTTTCCACTATTTAATGTGAAAGCAGCTGGTTATAACAAGCGCACATGCACTCTGCTTTTCGCAATGTAAAACAAGCATTTTCTCACAGCAAACTCGGTGTAACTTTTTGCAAATAAAGGGCCGAAAAAACACGGGAAAAAGAGACTGTTATTTATTAAATTAATCTAAAAGGGCTGCTATAATTTAATGGAAACAGTTTAAATGCAGTGAGGTGTAACACACACACACACACACACACGTCACAGTATAAATCTGCTTGCTTGGAAGAAAAAAAATCTGGGATTGAAAAAGATGCTTTGTTTTCAGCTTATGCAACCAGTGGACCTGTTGGATGGAAGCTTGCATAACATTTGTGCAAGAATAGGATGTTGTCTTTGTTTGACCCAATGAAGCTTTACATCTGAAACTGGCAGGTTTTAAACTCCCTTTTTGCTTTGAACCACCACAGTGCTGAGAAAGCAGTACCTGTTGATCGCTAGACTGCAGCACACAGCCAGGTTTTTCAGTGCATCAGCATCAGTCTATACTTTTAAACATTTGGAATTAGCCCAGGAAGCATGTAAGGATTGTGTGGCTCATATTAAGGTGAAATTTAAGCAGATGCAGATAATTATCCTAATGAGAGTAGTGTTGTTTGGCTATATTGTCTTTGTTGCTCTCCGCTGCCTTATTGAGGTCAGAGGGTAGGACTGGAGAGAGTGTGGTCTATTTGCTGTGAAGTGAGGACAGAATAATGTGCTTTTGTCAAGCACAGTGGACAGGGTTACTTCTGGAGCAAAGTGAGACTCTTCTTTTCTTCTGTTGACCTTCAGAGAGCTGAATTTTGGCTGAGCACTTGTCACATCATCAGTCTACAAGAAACTATGACGTATATATGAATTCAAAAATTAAATTTTCCCTGTCGCTGATGAATGGTCTAGCTGAGCCTGGTGTCATGCATATACACAGTCTCCCATGAAGCCTTGATAGTGACGGAATATGACCGTAATTACTCATGACACTTGTACTTCAGCTATAACTGCAGTTACCTGTGGTGATCCAGCCTGCGAGGTTACGAGAGTGATGCAGAACAGAAAGGCCCTCTTCGCTAAAGAAGAAGCACCGGGTCTGCCTTTACTCACTGATACTACAATAATCAGTTCAGTTTGAGAATAATCTCAAATGCTTCCTGACTGTTTGGATTAATAGCACATTAAGCGATACAGTCACTGCTAATTGACTGCTGGAGAGAAGTTCCTGTGTACTCTGTGCCACAGAGCATCAATGTTTTTAGCTTCCTTGGATGCCATCTGATTTATAAATAGCTTTTATTAGAGTCCTAATGCAAACAGAGCCATAATCATACATTAGGTTACAAATGATCACGGATAGAGGTGGAAGATTGTATCGATGCAGTTTAGAAAAAGATTTACAAAGAGAGAGAGAGAGCTTGCATGCGAGTCATGTGGGGAAAAAGTGCCATGGCCGCAAGTTTGATGTCGGCATTTTGCAATGGCTTATTTTGATAAAGAAAAGGCTTTGGAATTGATAAGCTTGAAGGCTGGGGGATTCTGAAGGATGGACAGTTTGGAACCAGTTCACTGTTTCGGCACTCCCACATGTAGTCACGTAGTCCCAACCTGAATTCATGGTGATAGTTATTTGGTACCTCAGTGGCATTGACACAGTGTAATAACGATCCGCGTTTTTTTTTTTTTTTTTGTGTGTTATTTTTCGCAAAAAAATGGACTATGGCTTCCAGCAGTTGTTGTTTACTAGTGTGTGCGCGCGCGTGTGTGTGTGTTGTTGAGATAAAGGGTCATGTTTTGCAAATCCAAAGGAAAAAAAAAAGATTATCCATAGACATAAATTTTGTCTTTTACATGATCTCGTTCATGCTTGGGTGTTTTTTTTTCTTTTTTTTTTTTTTGTATCTTTGTTTTTCCATTCGTATAAAGTACAGATGAAAAAGGGATACATGTAGAAACAACAGTGCAACGAGGCATGCTTTCTATTTGTGGCTGTGCAGATGCTCATGGGAATGCGATCACATTATGTGTCCCGTATTTTTAATTGAAATGCTAATACACACTATTATTATTTTTGTTATGAAAATTCTAGGCTTGAAAAAGATCTCTGATCTGTAATTGAATCTAGACACAGAGATATTAATTGTGTAATTAGATGTGATGTGTGGCAGGAGTTGAATCGCATCAAAACATCAGCGTTTTCCATGGTCAAAACACCCTTTAAAAAGAGGATACTCCTGCTGGCTTCCAGACTGTGTGTGCCCTGAGGTAAACCCTGGTCTAGAAAGGGAATTTTAGAGTATGCGCTGCTGCTCAGCAGTTTGAGCAGGGCCCACTGAGGCCAGCGGAGAGTGCCACCAAAAAGGAAAAGCTGGCTCAAAGCCACTGACGTCATCTAAGTAAATCTGCTTCAGTACTGCAGCCATAAAATGACTGCCAGCTACCGAATGCACTTTGGCCCTGTCAACCACCTTAGTGCAACACAGTCCCCCCCGTTCCTTACTTATGGAAGGCTGTGTTTAAGTTTACTTACATTTTGCCGGAGTAGTAGCAGATGTCTGTTCATTCAAAAAGAACAAGGCAAGTCTCAGGCTTTGTAGTTTTAAATAAAGCACCGAATGATTGAGCTTCTCTCACCCTTTGAAGTCGTACCACTTTAATATTGCAGTCTTATAATGCTTACCATATGGCAATCTCAATTATTAGTTCTGGAAAAAGGCATTTAGAATTCACGGTGTCATAACCGCTCGTTATTGATGTATTTCTTAGACACTTGGACTTTGTCTGGAGTTCTTATATGAAAGCAGGGGGGGAAAAAGACAAATGAGCTCTGCTTCATGGTAAAACACAGACAAAAAGCAATATGTACTCTGAATCATTTCATGAGTCAGTTTCTGAAACCACTATAAACATTTTTTGCTCTTAACCGCAATGAAAGCAGGAAATCTCGGCTTCAACAACTTCCTTTCTCAGTGCGGACCATAGTAGTGGCAGTGGTGTTCGGCTTCTCCGCTAGTTGAAGGAAATCCATGGAACAAAGGCGCACTGTCACTTCATTTACTGAAACTGTGTATAATTTGTGGCATGTATTCAAATGTGGGTTATTTTGTTCGTACTCCCCAGGTACCTCTTGTAATAAATTCTCACAAGACCTTTCGTCGATGGTCGCTGTAGTAGTGTCGTGACTGACACAGATCAGCCAGGCTTTTTCTGCCCTCGAGGTGCCCTGGATTCAGAGAAGGCACACGTAGATTGGAAGGCAAGCTCCCAACATTAATATGCGGGCTGTACCCGGTAAATTAGTTAGGAATCTGAGCCAGGATGCTGCAGTGGAGAGCAGTGCGGTCCAAACTTTTTGTGTGTGTGTGTGTCTGTTTAGTCTTTTGAATTGGCCCAAATAGTGGACATTTTCAACTAGGAGGTGTTTAATTGTAATTACATCATTAATACATGGAAGCGGGTTTATTAGCGAACAATACAGCTTTCAGTAAACCACGAGAAAGTATGTAGTGACAGTATTTTTAAACATAAATAAAGACAAGGTTAAACTCAAACTGTGTTAGTTCATGCCCTCACACCAAGCCAAAGTAATACTCACATAAATGCAGCTGCATTAGAAACTCCCACCCCTGAGTAGTACAACCAATAGCTGGAATCAAATTACAGGGATATATATTCATATCTTACTGTAAAGTCCTCTGTTTTGACTCACTTTTCTCCAAGCTCTCTCCTTTTTTTTCCTACTACTGTTTGAAAGTGAAGCTAAACCAAACAGCTCCATTTGCCCTCAAACACCATCAGTAAGATTGTCCTCCACTGCTGATTGTTGGCGGCGTCAGTTCAATCCCAGTTGTTGGAAATTTTTTCCTTGCTTTTAAATATTTGAAAACACAAAAACGCTGATTCGCCTGTATTCACATTGCATGGCAACAACTGC